CCTAAAAAGTATCTAAATTTTCAGATACTTTTTATTTATATCTGTACCTATACCTAGGTAATTGTAAAAAAATGTATCTATACTTATATCTAAATACTTTTGCCACAATACCTATATCTATATTTAGATACCTTTCAAACGGTATCTGTTCCAACTGTATACAACCAACAATTTTCGAGTATTTATAACTGATCTGCTATGCCGGTTCCATAAAGTAAATTTGAATGTACACACTACAGAGTATAATGTCTCTATAGGATACACAAAATAAATATTTTAGTTATGTTCAAAGCCTAAGGGTCGACAGAGGGGATGCACCGCGCGCTCGGCGCTTTACCTACGGTCCGCAATAAAATCATCTGTAATTACGTCAATTCTTCGAATTTCGTTCTAAAACTCAAGGGACATATTTTTGATGGGTTAAATTATTAAATTATGCAAAAAAAATTTTTCGATTTTTTTGACCCATTACATGAGGTGCCCCTCATAAGTATAAAATATAATATAATGTAAAATGTATATCAAATGAAAAATTAAAATTCAGATGCTACAATCTTAACTTTGTAAATTCTATCTATCAAATTAAAAAATAAAACACAAATGGTGTACTGTTTCTTGTTATTTATTCAAACTTACCTTTTTAAAAAAAAGGTAAAAAAAGCGCTAAGCGTGCATGCTTCTCGTATGGAAACCATCATTTGGGCCGGTTTCACCAACGTCAATTATTTAATCGGCCGTGGAACTGATAACTAATTGCGTTTGCTGTTTGATGAAATTCTTTGTATATGATACATTCCAATCCAAGTTATAATGGCTTTATTCCCTTTCAAAAATTATTACATGAAAATCATTATATCACAAAATTTATTAAATCTAATGATATATGTATCATCTGTATAAAAGATTTGATATCAACAATTGTGGCGCCAAGTTAAATTCTGTTAATGTTTTTATTAAATCTAATGATATATGTATCATCTGTATAAAAGATTTGATATCAACAATTGTGGCGCCAAGTTAAATTCTACTACAAAATAAAAAGTAAA